AGGCTCCTCAAAAAGGTCTTGTTTGACACTTCCCACTCGATGTCCTTGGACCAGCCTCGCAAGTCCAGAGACTGCAGATGAGGAAAAATGTCTCTTGTAATGCTGAACTTTTTCACTGAATCCAAACTTAGGGTGAGTAGGTTTGAAGTATTTACATGGAGGTCATCGGACTGAAACGAAATAAAGTTGTTGTGAGTAATAACCAAATGTTGTAAAGTTGGAAGTTTAACAATATAATCAATATCTGAAATTTGATGCAGGTAATTATTGCTCAAATCTACTAAACGTAAGATGACCAGGGGCTGAAAGACCACAGGGGAAATAAATGAGATAATGTTGTCGTCCAGAGACAGTGTCTCTAATTTGGAAAGGCCCTGAAACATGTTTTTTGTCAGTGCTGTGAGTAAATTTTCACCCAAGTCGAGAACTTTTAACTCTACCACGTCTGCAAAAGTTCCATCATCAATTTGTAAAATCCAATTATTTTTAACATATAGAGCTTCAAGCTTAGATAAACCTCTTAAATACATCCTGGAAATATTTGAAAGGTCATTTGAGCTGAGATTGAGCGATACTGCATTACCAGGAATGTCATCTGGAATAGCAGTGAGGTGACGCTTTGCACATGTAACTGATACATTCTTTGAATTTTCAGAATACAGGATTGTGCAGTTTTTTAGAGAAAAAGCAAGTGAATGTTCACAATGAAACAAAAAAGACAGAAGTGAGATAAGCAGCAGAAGGACTCTTTCTGTAGCTAGCATGTTGATCTCAGTGGTGGTTTTCACTTTCTTTAGGGAGATGGAGGTGGGAGCATACTGTTGATCAATACACCTGAAGCAGACCAGAGAAGAAAGAAAATATAAGGTAGGTTTTGATCACATCACAGTGTCCACAACTTGGCATGAAATAATGTGACATCTGGTGCAGTCAGTGGTGAAAACTGTTGATAGTCTGAGAGTTTATCTACCTATCCATGGGTCAGTGGCTCAATCCAGCATGTATATCAAAATTGGGACCTGCAGGCCAGAGCCCACTCTTTACATATTTCAAAGAGACATGCATATCACTTAAGATTCTCCATATATTTTGTCCTGCACAGTCTTACTTGTGGTTAACAAGATAGATAACACAGAATGAAGTTTAAAGGAAAGGCAGGCAGCTGAACTACAGATGGGCAACTGAGTTGTCTTGTCCCAGCAAATCAC